AGTTCCTAGATGTATTGAATTTCAATTCCTGCCTGTGCTTGCCTTAGCAGGACCAGACCACATGATTTCTCAGGCATGTACAGACTATGGCTGAGATGTTCCCCACAGGGTCACTATGAGTTGAAACTTGACTGAACAACAATGCAACTCTTTAAAAGAAGGGCCAAACTCTTCTTTTTAATTTAATTTAATTTATTTTCTCTTCTCTTGAATCCAGAAATGGAGTTTATTTTCCCTTCTCTTGAATCCAGGAAGGTCCTGTAACTTGTTTTACCAAAAGAAAGAAGTGAAATTGTCCTACTTCTTAGAATGGGCCTTGAGAGATCTTGAATTCCCACTGTTTCATGCTATTGAAACTTAACCATCATATTGTGTGAATCCCAAGTCTCCTGGAGAGAAAACTAAGGCTCCAGTTGACAGCCCCAATGGAGCCTCCAGCCAACAAGCCAGCACTAACAACAAGTCAAATGAATGCACCATGGTGGACGTTCCAACCCAGTCAATCTTCTGGATGGTTACAGTTCCAGATGGCACCACACATGGGGAAGAACACCAGTTTGCCTCAGTCAACTCTCCATCTTGAGAAAGAATAAATGATATTGTTGTTTCAGTCACTGAGTATTGAGTTGGTTTGTTCTGCACCTGTAGACATTTCCAGAACTTCCCAGTGAACCAGGCTGCTACTAGTTCCTGCTCCACTCAGTCTTCCATAGGATTGTGATGATGGTGGTTATGTGCTGTGGAGTTGGTTCCAACTCATAGCAACCCCGTAAAGGGTTTCTGAGAAGCAGCAGCTGGTGAGCTTGAACTGTCGTCCTTGTAATTCAAACCGACCTTGCAGTCCAGCGCATTAGCTGGCAGCACCACACCAGGATAGACCCAAAAATAGGAAGGTGACTAACATGGATTAGAAAAGAACACTTCCCATTGTGGTGCAAGGCAGTTAAGACCATGGACTCTGGAGGTAGACTAACATGAGTTTGAATCCTGGCTTTGCCCTGTACTATCTATGTATCTTGTAGAAGCCACTAAACTTTACTCAACCTCAGTTTCCCTTTATATAAAACATTGGCAATAATATTCCCCACCGCATAGATTGATGATAAAGATTAAATGTCAGAATACATTAAGCATTTAGGGTCAGTGAAGAAGAGGAAGACCCCCCCACCCCAATGACATGGATTGACACAGTGGCAGCAGCAATGGGCTCAAGCTTAACAACCATTGTGAGGATGATGCGATGGGTCATTCTGTTGGAACTGAACCTAACAACAACACAGCAACAACAACATATGGACAGCATTTAGGATTGTGCCTTTCACAGAGGCATACTGTTACTGATTCTCCATTCTCTTCTACATTTAAGGAATCATTAGCTCACAGCTGTGGGAAGAGTTCCAACCCTAAGTAGGACTGAAAGATATGAAACATGAAAGGTTTCACGTATGGCCAGGACAGGTTTTCTCTTTGACCATGCTCCATAAAAACATGACCTTGATAAACACTAAATCGGATTGGTCTCACAGTTTGTGGTCATCCACAACAGAAATGCCAGACAGCTAGACAAACTTCCTGTGAGAGCAGATAACACCTATGTTTAAGAATCCACACTTTGGGACTCTACAAACTGATTTCTATTCATCAGGAATGTCAAGCTTTATGTTTATGCTATGTCATCGTGAGAAGTTAGCTCATTGCTGGCACCCTCTCAATTACCTTCATCACACTTGTATCAACTTGGTTCTAAGTATTGTTTTGTAGTTCACGGCAGCCATGGGTCATGGCAGTGTTTGTATCTGTTATAATAACAGTTGTTGTTGTTGTTGTTGTTAAGTGCCATCGAGTCGGTTCCGACCCATAGCGACCCTGTACAGGGTTTCCGAGGGTGTAAACCCTAAGAAAACAAAAATCCTCACCACTGGACCAATAAACAACATTCTTACAATGGAATAAAGAATGGTCAAAGACTTCATTCTTCTTGGATCAACTATCAACACTCACAGAAACAGCAGTCAAGAAATCAAATGACGTATTGCATTAGGCCAATCTGCTACACAAGACCTTTTTAAAGTTTTGAAGAGTAAAGATGCCAGCTTGAGGGCTTAGGTGCACCTGTCCCAAGCTGTGGTATGTTCAATAACCTCATATGCATATGAAAGCTGGACAGTGAATAAGGAAGACCATAGAAGAATTGATGCCTTTGAGTTATGGTGTTGGAGGAGAATATTGAGAGTGCCATGGGCTGCCAAACGAACCAACAGATCCATTTTGAAAGAAGTGCAGCCAGAGTGTTCCTGAAGTGCAGACAGTAGGCCAAGATGGTCAAACTTCGTCTCTCATACTTCTGACATATTGTCAGGAGAGGCCAGTCGTTGAAGAAGGATATCATATTTGGTAAGGTGGAGGGTCAGAGGAAAAGAGGAAGACCCCTAAGGAGATGGATTGGCCATGTGGCAGCATCAGTGGACTCAAGCACGGCAACAGTAGTGAGGTTGGCCCAGGATTAGGCAGTGTTTTGTTTTGCTGTGCATAAGGTCACTATGAGTCGGCACTGACTTAACGGCACTTAACAACAACAATAAGCCTAGTTAGTGTGGTGTCTCTGTATAATAAGCACTGGACTGCGAGCCACAAAATCGGTGTTCCACGCCTACTAGATACCCCATGGGGGAAATATGAAGCTTTCTGCTCCAACAAAGATATCCAGCCTCGGAAGCCTTACACAGGGTTGCTGTGAGTTGGCATCAACTCAATGGCATTTAACAGCAGCAACAATAAATGAGTTAGTAGTATCATGTTGTTGTTTTGGTCGTTGTTTTATGTACAGAGTTTAGAATATTGCTTTTGTCAAAATGATAAATGAATGATTTTTTTTTTTAATGAGACAAAACACAATGGTTTTGTTTACTGCTGAGATTAGAATTAGTGAACAGCATTGTCAACCTTGCCTTTGAGTTCTCCTCTTTTTAAAATGAACATCAATGACGTACTTCTATTTACTTCAAAATTAATCACCCCAAATGAATTAATATCTACAAGTCCTAAGTTAAGTTTTGTGATATCCTAATTTTATCATTCCTCCCATACAAACACACACTTATTAGCCATGTTGTTATGTGCCATCAAGTCGATTCTGACTCATAGTGACCGTGTATGACAAATTAGAACTGTCCTATAGGATTTCCTATCAGATTAGAATTAATAGGTTCAGCCAAATTTTCCACCAACTAGCGAAGTTTGGCCTTATTTGATTCTGTTTTCCAAAAATGGAGCCAAACCAGGGCTTAAATGCTTACATGCACAAAATTTTAGCAAAACAAACTGTATACTGACTGTTTCTAATTCATAAAATTGATTTAACTGGAGTTTAAGACTTTTTTACCAATTTTTCTCTTTCAGAAACAAAAATGGGTATAAATTCATCTATAATGACGAATTCGAAAAGTAAACTACTTGATTTACCAGGACTTTTATCCAACTAAGTTTTAAAAAAAAAAAAAACCATAGCATTCTGCTTCAGTTTTTGAGAATCGAATGATAATAGTTTCCACGGGACAATTACAAATGGAGCCCCAAAGCTCTCTACTTTTCATCATTCCACATATTTCTAGTCATTACAATTATTATAGGTTCAATGATACTACCCGTATCCTGTTATTTGGAAATGGTTCCATCTGTTTTTCAAGACAACGGTGATAGATCCATAAATGGATAGCTAAGGAAGTCAATCAATTAGACGTTCTGGGAAAATGTATCGAGCTTGTGCTTATCTTTAACATGGTAACATCACTCATCCACAATTGTCATGCTTCCTCTTTCCAAATTATTTATGAGCCTCAGGTCAGCTTGAGAAAATTCACATTTTCATTTCATGCTTGTTAATCATGACTTAAGTGAAGACTATCAGAGATGCAAATTAATTGCAAACTGTACGAGGGTTGCACAAATTAAAAACTATGAAAGTTTAATTATTAACACAGCTATAATTCAGGGTCCTTTGGCAAACACCAACTATTCACCTATTTTTAATCACTTAGTGCAACCTAAATTGGGCAAGATTAATCGAAACTGGGTAGACTGGGTTTTCTTTCTTTCTCCCTCTTCCAATTTTCAACCCCTCTCCCATTCCCTCCTTAGTCTCTGAGGTTTGAACCCTGGTCTTTCTGCATCTGTCTTGCTTCAGCCCCATCACACCAGTTCTAATCAATAACAGAGTTCTCTAGTTTAAGTTGCCCTTCTTACGACTTTGCATTTTACATTCCATCGGTCTCGTCAGAGAATCTCAATCAGGTTCCCCATGGAAAAATAGAGTAAAAATTAAAAGCCTACTTTTCCATGGACATCTGTAGACTTATGTGCACTGTGTGATTATGTGCCTATACACAAAAAGGTGTATGAATATATATTATTTAAGTACTATTCTTGAAAGTAACTGTTGGGAATGCATCTGCATCTACACAATGAAATAAGAAAGTTGCCAAAAGTTAACTCTGAAACACCCCATATGATAAAACCTCGGGAAGGGAAAAGAGTGTTCAATTTAGGACTGGTAGGTTCAGTCAGATTCCCCACATGTAAGTCAAGTCTGGCTTTACTCACATCTCTTTTCCCTACAACAAACCAAAGCGGGGCATCAATGCTGACATGGACAGCATTACTAAAAAAAAAAAAAAAACCTGGGTACCATTTCTAATTTATAAAATTGATTTTATGGGAGTTTAAGGCATTTTTACAATTTGTTTTTGTTTGTTTGTTTGTTTTAGAGACAAAAATGGGTATCTGGTCTGTTTACCGGTAAATGGCACATTAATAAAAGGAAGCCATTTGATCCAAACACCTTTTGAGTTTCTCAGATGAAATGTCATGGCTTTCTCAAAGCCCATCTCTACAAATTCTAAATCTTGCTGTTTCCCTGTAAATGTTGAAAGTAACATACGTCGATAGCCTTAGTCACAACTCAGACAAAATTATTTCCGGAAGCAAATAGCATGCATACTTACTTGGCAGGGCTGCTTCATTTTGATGGCTATGACGTGGTACCTGTAACAGCAGAGTTCACAGGTCCAAGAGCCCCTCTCGCTTATCCACTTGAGCAGACACAGCTGATGTGTATACCGAACTGACCCATCACAACGGCAAGGGTTCAGCAGCTCCCCCTAAAAAGAAACCCAGCTTTGTATGAATATGTACAGCCATGTCTCTGTTTTCAGAACCCAACCCAATGCTGACTTTCTTCCCTTTCAAAGCCACTGACCCAAAAGGATCAAGGCATCAAGCTCTATCCTAAAAAATGAAATTAAAACTTTATGTCTCTGATGGAAATGAAACTGAAGTCTTAAAAAGTATTTCAGAGCTATGGCTTAGAATTATGACATAAATGTTCTACCAACATACAAAATGTCTGCAGGATATAACTCCCAGTACCCTTGAGAGAAAGCCATACTAGTAAATCTCTTTAATAACTTTTAAGTAGATGGTCAGAAGCATTTCCTCTGTAGTTATTCTTAATCCTCACTAAAGAAGCAATGCATTCCAGAAAGTAGTTGGCAATAGCATTATGCTTTTTCTCTGCCTCTAAATGTAGCATCAGAAATATTGACTTTGGGAAGTATATTCCTGAAAGTCTGTATATTTTTATGTAATTTCCTTACTGGTCAAAATATGAAACCTCATGTTTTCTCAAACCACACATTTTGTAATAACCTTTCCTAGGTTTTCAGTCATACAAGTTTGCCTGTACCCCCAATAGAGTTTATCATTTTAGAATGGTCCTGTCACAAAATACAAACTACCTGGTTGGCTCAGTAGTCTTTTGCTTCATAATCTCAAAGTAAATGCCTATGTCTCTTACAAAAAATAACACGTTTTTCACATCAGACAGAACAAGTCACCAAAACCTGCAATGAGGAAATACCCTTTGGGTTTTGTTGCGTCAGGAATCACCCTCAGTTTGTATTCTAAGATTATGCCCTCAGGAGACACTTGGAGAAAAAAGATTTCACCTTCGGATACATGTGCATAAAAGGGACTTCGCTTAATAACCTATATGTTTGTTTCTATCTAGAAACCAACATCCACTTAGCAAATGAATCGGGCATTACTATTGAAGCATCAGAGGAATGTGCAAAAAAGGTCAGGGGAAAAAGTGCATATCAAATTCAAGTCCTGTGTTCTTCATGGGACCAAGGATCTACCTTCAGATAAAGGGGGCGGAGGAGCACAGGGTGGCCGGCTCACTCAGGAGGACCCGACCAGCTTCATGGAAGCCTCAGGGGAGGCGAGCCCTGTCCGTGGTGCTGAACGGTCTAAAGGAGCCGGTCGCGGTCCCGCCGGGCCTTACCTGCTCGGCGCCCTGGAAACAGATCTTGCAGATGGGTTGGTGGTGCTGGTGCTGATGCCCGACGCGCCGGTCGCCACCGCCGCTGCTGCTGCTGCTGCTGCGGCTGCTGCACACCGAGCGCGTCTCGGGCTGATCTCCGGAGCCCCGCCGCTCGCCCTCCCCGCCAGCGCCAGCCTCAGGCTCACCGGGGCAGCCTTTCCCCGCCGCCGCCTCGGGGACCGCCGCCTCCGGGAGGCGTCTGAATCCTTCCCCGGAGTCGCCGGCCGCCGACACCTCCTGGCCGACGGGCGGCAGGG